AAACTTTCTTCCGTTTTATGGGTTTTAGTTGATCTTATTTTATTGTAGAATATTAAATCTAATGTAGGTATTGTCATTTTTTACATATCGTTATATTTTATTTCATATATTTTCTGTTGCATTTTACAGTAGGACCATGCAATAGTTCATCATATAAATGTACTCACTTTTTATGTAGGAAAAATAAAGGTATTTGAATGTTCTGTCCTCTGACATATAATTTCCATATTGCATAGTAATGAGATAAACCTCAATGGCTTTTTAGCATTTCAAATTTTAGGTAATTATGCATTTATTCATATGGAATTTGTTTATACCACATGTGTGAGTAACAGGGTGGTTTTCTTTTCACTTCTGCTTCATCTCCATTGTGACCTCCAAAGAACACATAGCTATTGTAGTTGGGGGTAGCAGTTTATCATTTCGTTAAACGGGGCCAATTCAACAACAGTGTATTACAAATCAGTTTGAAACTAGCACTGTCGGGATTTCCCCAGCCAACAGGGTCGAAAACAGGGTGTCGCTCAGGAATAAGAAAAGAGACAGTAGAAGAGAAAGAGTGGGATCAGGGGACTCAAGGCTTTAAAGACCAAGAGCCCCAAGAGTAATTCCTCACTCATATTTATTCATCCCAAGAACAAAGGATCATCGTAAATCATACAAACAAACATGTTCTAAAGACATCCCACAGGCAAACAATGGTCTATACATATCAAAGCTATTTCTAGCCTAAGGCTAAACAAGAACATCAATTTGGGATTGCCTCCAGGCTAGTTTTCCAGCAGGTCAGGTGTTCCTGATACCAGTCCTGGAGCAGTTTTCTGCCCCAGGAGAGAAACTGTTTTCAGTTCCTCCTGCCCTTGGAATGTCTTTTCCATTTGGAAAACAGCCATACCTATGCAGACTGTCACATCCGCAGAAGTTCTTATGCCAGCAATATCCCTAGGTCACCCTAACATTTCTAAGCTACCCAACACAGCACATGCCTTCAGAGCATACACAGTACCTATATGTGTAGAAAAAATAGTTTACAAGTTACAGTTGGGGTAGGAGATGAAACTTCAAAAAGACGGTTAAAATAAATTAAAATAGGTACCAGGCCTGAAGCATCCCTGAGCAGACAAAACAAGTTGGGCCTCATAAGTCACTTCAACCTTGCTTGATTTGAAAACATATGAAAAACTTAACTTGAGCTATTTCTTTCCAAGGCCTACATTAAGAAAAAATAGAACTTAAGCTCAACCAATCACAAGTAGTCAACAAACTCATAATTATATACCCAGGGACTTTCCAACAAGTAAACAAAAATTCAATAGCAACCAATCAATTATTTTGCCTCA